GCAATTGAATTGAATATAAACTATAACTCATCATTATAATATATTTAAATGACATAAGTTATGGTATAGTTAAATTATAGATGTTATACTAATAAAGTATATTAAAAATTAAAAGCATTGGTGTCTTTAGAGAATACAAAATTAGATATGATATCGGATCGGTAATCGGCCGATATCAATTTAATATCGGGAATATCGGATCGGCCTCCAAAAAGTGGTATCGACACACCTCTAAAAAATATATATCCAAAATGATTTTAATTTGTAATCAACCATCTTCTATGAAAAATTTTAATAACAATTATCTAAGAGGGACTTAAGTATAGGTATTATTATGTTGATAATTATAAAATAAAAATATAATATACTTTAATATGTTTAACAAAGTTTGTAAAGGAGTTTGTTGAACCTTTAATAACTTTTTTACTTGTGCAATTTTGACATTCAGCTTGTACCTTGTTCTTTTTCACATGAATTACTTTATAAAATTTTCCATCTAGAATTTTAAGATTCGGATTTGATTCAGGAGAACCCATCTCCATAATTTCATCTTCACTACTATGATTGTTAAACATTTTACAAATTAAAAAATATTACATATAAAATATATCCTTCTCTTATTTAGTTTTGGTGTTGTTATTTTAATCTATCTATCTTTGTGACCTATAACATTTCCAACTAATTTTCGTTATCAATATATTTAAAATATAGCGGGAAAAAATAAAGAAAATAATACAAGATTTCACGAAGAAAATAAAGTTACATTGTGTGATATGTAAATGTTTTAAACAAGAATATTAAAAAGAATCTGTATCTGTATCTTTTTAAAGAAAATGAAAAAGATACAAGATTCTTTTCAAAATAAAGGATCTTAGATACAGATACTAGTATCTTATTAAAAATGTCAATAAGATACTGAGTACAAGATACAAAAGGATCTTGTATCTTGTATCTTAGATACAAGTATTCGCGGTACTGCCCAACTCTGGCAATGATGGATCCGACAAAATGGTTAGCTTTTAAAAAAGTAGGATCCTTAAAAATTGTTATATTAATTTAGTTAAATTTAAAAAAATGTATTTTGTATAATTTTCAGTTAGACAAAATATTCATCATAGATAAAAGGGCATAATGTTGGCCCGACAAAATGAAAAGCCTTAAAAATATGAAAAAATTTCCAAGCATGCAAGATTTTAATAATTTAAAAAGATTTTCTCAAGCCCATTTCAATCCCTAATAATTTTGAAAACCAAGAAAATATTAATTTTGAGAAATATTTTTTAAGCCCAGTCTAACCCATAATAATTTTGAAACCAAGCCCAGAGATATTAAATTTATAATTAATGAATGGGAAATCTCTGATTTACCAATTAGTCTACGGTAAAATATATTTCTTTATAAAAATATTAACATAAGACTAACATTTAACATTAAAAAATCACAATATAGGTTCAAGCCTACAATTTTTGGGAAAAATTTCCAAGCATCCAAGATCTTAATAATTTAAAAAGATTTTCTCAAGCACATTTCAATCCCTAATAATTTTTGAAAAGCAAGCCAATATTAATTTTGAAATATATTTTTAGTCCAGTCCGACCTATAATAATTTTGAAAAAATTTTTCCAAGCCTTAGAGATATTAAATTTATAATTAATGAATGAGAAATCTCTGATTTACCAATTAATCTATAAGTTAACTCAATTAAATTGAATTTCTATATAAAATATTTATAATTTATAATATTTAGTGAATAATGTATTACTTTGACAATAGGTTTTAATATGGCCTCCTACAGTTGCATTAATTTTGAAAAAATTTCCCAAGCCTAAAGTTATTAAATTTATAAATAATGAATGAGAAATCTCTGATTTACCAATTAATCTATGAGTTAATTCCTAGTTATATATGCAAAAAAAAACATGTGAATTGGTAATAAGGGAAACTGAGAAAGCCTATACAAAGCACTTATTAGAGAATCATGACGAAATAAGGTCTGCCCTAATATTATTATAAGAAATAAAAAATATTACCTCGTATTATTGGAGATAACTCCAAAAATGTTTTTTTTAAAATCTTAAACTAATTGGTAAATCAGATATTTCCCCTTCAGGTGATGATAAATCAATTAAAAATTTAACTCTCTCCGAGGTGGGAAAAAATTTTCAAAATTATATTGGATACGACTGGTCTTGGAACCTCAAAAATAATATTAGCTTGCACCAGACATGGAAATATCTTTTATAAATTATTAAGGGTTCAGCTGAGCTTGATAAACATTTTTATAATTATATGCTTCCTAATATTGTGATCTTGGACCTGGCATGACATCTATATAAAAAAATGAATAAAAATCTTATTCCCCGTCATTTTTGATGGGCTTTCTTAATAATTTGTAATATTTAGTAAATAATGTATTAATTTGACAATTGGTTTTAATATATCCTCCTACATTTGCATTAGTTTTGAAAAAAATTTCCCAAGCCTAGAAATATTAAATTTATAATTAATGAATGATAAATGTTATTAAAATCAAATTTTAATTATAAATATTCTAAAATTGTCTTAATAAAAATATCTGCTTTATTCAAAAATGTAATAATTAGAGTATTATTTGAACATTTTAACATAATATTTTTAGCAATAGAGCCATAAAATTTATTATCAATTTTTAACAGTAGAGATGAACTGAGCTGTAGCATGATTTTGTGAATCTTTATTTAAAGAATATTCTGATTACAACTGAATATTAACTGCATGAAGTAGATTTCTTACATGTAAAACTAATCCCAAATATGCTTCTGCCATTTCATAATCCAAGAAATTTTTCAAAATATCAGGACAGCTTTCAAAATCTTTATTTAATAAATATTTTTTTATGCGTTTGTAAAATTTTAAAATTCTAAGGATGGTAGGTATTAGTGATAACCACCTGATAGGTATATATCGCAATAACTCACACCATTCCAACAGAGGCATTATCAGCGCAGATAGCTGTTATGTAATTCATTGATAACCCTGATGAATCAGCTATATTTACATTATGTGGTTAGCTACATCGTTAGATTTTTCACTATCCGAGGAAAAATTTCTAACAGTTTTATTGAAATGTTCTTATTCTAGTTGAAATAGCGAAGGATCAAGGGAAATGTTTTAATATTTCCCTTATTAGATGCATCTGTTAGAATTGCATATGGATGCCCATCTTTCAAATAGTCTAGAATTGACCTCTAGGATTCAGGTACTAAAACCAAGTAAGGTTTGCACTTATATTGGAGTCATTAAATATCATGGGAAAAAGATTCGACCAACATTGTGATGATATAGCTCTGTGAATGTTGAACTACATGATAGGTTTATACGATTTCCGCAGCTGTACTTGCATCTGTATTATTTATTATTTTTGGAGAATATTTTTGTATTGCAATCGATATATACGATATACTCCCCTGTACTGACTTATATGAATGAAATGATGTTGATTTATTATTGGATAAAAATAAAACAGGATAAAAAGAAATTTACAAATTAGACATGTTTTTCGAAATATTTAAAATAAAAATATAAAAATAATCAATTACTGTCTCTCAAAATTATTATTTATATATTAAAAACGTTAAAATACTTTTTAAAAAAATTGTGGGAGAAATTAAAAAATTGTGGTAGATTTTTGCGGGAGATATCCAATTGCAGTAGTTTTGCGGGAAAGAGATGTCTGCATGTAAGCTAAAAATATGCGGGAGTCTCCCTCTGATGGGGGGGGGAATCATAGCAACCCCGATCAAGCGTAGAATTACGAAATATTATTCTCTTAACTACTATTGGTAAGCGTGACCAAGTTGGTTTATTATTTTATATTTAATACTGAATGATATTATTATTTTATTTCTATAATCCATATGTAAAATTATATTATTATAATTTTGATGTAAATTTTTGTTTCATATAATATTATTTTAGGATGTTAATTTGAATAAGAAATAATAATAAAATATGATAAAAAAAAGAACAATCTTGTTCCAAAGTTTTGAATTAACAAAAAATTTTTTAATTTAATACGCATTTCTAAATTTTCAAACTTTGACTATATCAATTTTATCTCTTCCTTTTTTAAACAATTATGATTTATAATTTCATTAATATATTGATTATATATAGCTTTTTTTAAATTTTATACCTTATATATTAATACCTTCTTTACTTTTTATATTTTTTTAAAATTTAATTTAAGTACAACTTTGATATATAACTAGAAGATACCATCTATTTTTCCGTCTTCCACCATGTTGGTATGCGGGGCCTATTAAAGATAAATTAATATAAGACTATATATTTTTTATTTCAATTTATGATCTAATTACATTTTGTATTATATAAATTTTATTCTTATTTAATACTATAAAGTTATGATAATTTATATTGAAAATTTTAGCTTCATATATAATTTTAGAAATGTTAATTTTAATAAGAAATAATAATAAAATATGATAAGAAAATAACAGGTCATTCAATATTACGAATAATATGTGTGATGAAAGTAAAAATTAAATAATAAAATGTTCTATATTAAATTTTATATTTGAATACTGCAGCAACTACTCTATTAACTTATGACAACTGTGCCTTTTTTCTATTAAAAATCTAGAGAACAGATAAACAGAGGTCCTGACAATTGGTAGCACATCCAGAAATATACATTCATCTGGATCTTTCTTCCTAATTATTGGCGCTAGAGTATTTTATTTTGGTCTACAGATTTGTATATTTTATATTTTTTGTTCATCTGTTTTATTCATTATAAATATTTTATCGAAGAAGTAAAGAAATACAATTATTCAAATTTTGGAATACATTTTTAATATAAATTGTTTTTACTATATTTAAAACATGTCATAAATTAACATAATTTATTTTACCAGATATATTTATTAAAAATAAAATAATTTAATAGAAAATAACAGAAATATATCAGAAAATTCAATTAATTGACAGTAAACTGTCATTTGAATTTTTAGATTTTGATGTTCCAAGGGGAACTAAATTTTTAAAATTTTTAAAATAATTATTAAGTGGGATGCAGAATATCTCACACTCATCAACAAATACTCAGACAATTGAGGAGCAAACAGTAGTAGACGTATGCTTAATAAGACATTGATATTTAACCATCATTATGCCAATTACTATTTGTATAAATTTTGTTTATCCTTTCTTAGGCAAGCCCATCAGTTAAAATGAAGCTTAAAAAACCTCAAAGCAAAAAGAATGTTAAATGGGACAATAAGACTGTTGATAATGAAAATATGGGGAAAAAGAAATCAAAATGTAAGTTTGAATTGCAGTTAATTATATCTAGTCTTTAATAGAGTAATCATTTTTTGCATATTTTAAATCAAGTAGGATTTCTCTAATTAATTTGATTTATTTATATTTATTTAAAAATTGTCAATATATATTACTGAAATTATCTAAAATTTGCATTGTTATAGTATATTTAACTTATTTTTATTCTTTTTCTAATGCACACAAAGTTGTTTCAAATAAATTTTTATGGACAGCTTTTATTTTATATGAATTAAATAATCCATATTAAGATGGATAAATTCAGACATGTAACCTTAGTGATGAAGAAATTATTTATAAAATATTTTTTGAAAAGATATAAGACATTTTTAAAAAGATTCTAATTACAAAAAAACTCTTATTATTAACAAAGTTCAATATTGACCCTAAGTTTATTTATATTATTAAATTCGATATATGTTTTTACCTTATTTTAAATTTTGGAATTCCTATTTTTATTATATCACTTTGCTTTACAAATTTTTAGAATTTTATTTTCATATAATATACTTCATTTATAAATCCTGCAAAGAAAAATTTAATATGCAATCTCATAACAATGTTGATTATATCCATTAATGACCATTTATTAATATTTAATAACTCTTCATTAATTGTGATTACAAATTTTTTAATCATTGTAAATATCTAAAAATATTACACACTTTTCCTTCATTGCCACAGTATTTATTTATTTTACATAAAGTAAATAATATACATGGTCAGCAACAAGTCCAAATATTTATTTATAAATATAAATATATATATTTGTTATTTAATTAATTAAATATAACACACCCACCCTAAACAGGTCCAGTATCTTTATATTCTAATTTCCCATAATATAAATGTATTGGACAAAGTACATAATACTTTATATTTAACAACAATTAATATGTTAATGATGTATCATTAGATCTCATCTCTTTTGCTGTTTCATGATATACAGTTGAACATCTAAGTCATCAATGTTGTCCTCAATCATTCTTTATAATTTAATATTTTTCCAAATTAAAGGATTTGGATCCTTATGTTTCTTATAAATCACACATTCCCCTTCATTTCCACCAGGCATTATGGTTACACACAATTTTTGCTTATTTAAATTTTTTATGGCGATATTTGCAATTAAGTAATTTTTCCTTCAGAATATTTTTATTTGTTATGTTCATCCCACACTGTGAAATATTCCAATTACTCAGTGATTTATCTTTTATAAGGATATTATTTTTACTGGGTAATTTGTGTCTTATATTTAAATTGGCATTATTTGAAATTATTTCCACTTTTATTTCTTTGAAAGTACTCAGTGGCCCCAACAATGGGTGGGGGTCCGAAGCAACTGCTTCTAAAAATTTGAGTGGAGGCACTTAAAAATTAAAAAAAAATTAATTCTTTTATTGTTTTACTACACTTGTCCATAACAAAGTGATTTTTGGTTTATAATGGCGTGATTCCTTAATACATATTAAATTATATAATAAGTGGGAAGCCTTATTAAATTTTAATAAATTTTGGTCGATGTTAGTCAAATTTTTGAAGAAATGTTAAAGTTTGGAAATATTTATGACGGCTAAAATGGAGGATGTAATTATTACACGTGACCTAGAGATTAAAGAATCTAAAGATTTGTCAGATTCTGAGAATTGTGAATTTATTTAGTTAAATTATTTTTACTAATACATTATTTAGCTACTTCTTCTGATGATGATAATTCTGAGACTTATGATTCAGACTGGAAAAACTATTCGTTTATTTTACCTTAGTACTTTAAAATTGTTCTGCTTTCCCTAATTTAATATATAAATATTTATTAACCATTCCTACTACCTCATTTACTGCCGAATGGGTCATAAGTAAAATTAAATTAATTAAACAATGGGTCATTCCATGACAAATCAACCACGATTCGGCCGACCCCCTTCGATTTTTTTAAAATTTGGTAAGCAAAGAAAGGTCAATGTTACTAAGAAATAGCCATAATTTTAGCCTCCTAACATTTATATTTTTGAAGATATTAGGGTTCAAAGTGGCAAAAATGACGTATTTTTACCATTATCTGCCTTAAGCATATCTTAAAAACTACATAATTGTAAATAACAAATTTAATATCAAAATTACGTACAAAGATTCTAATTTTAGATAAAAAAAAATTTTTCTTTTTTTTTCCAATATCCGGTCATTTTATTTAATATATAAGGACTAAAAATGATTTTTCGGAAATAATACGACCTTCAATTTTTTTAAAAAATTTAGTAGACATTATTAAACTCTTCCTTTATATTTATAAAAAAAAAAAATTTGGGACGCGGCCATCTTCATTCTCAAAATTGATAAAAATGTTTAAAAAAGTGTATAAATATTTTCCCAAAAGGGGGCGTCTTTGTATAAAATTATATATTAATCAGTTTTTAATGGTTTTTCTTGAACTATTTGATATAATTTAAAGGATTATTCATCTTGTAAGTGAAAATAACAATAAATGGGGCTTTCATTCAATTATAGAAATTGTCTATCGATAAAAGAAATTCAATTTATTACTTTATTTATAATTTATTATAAAAATTTTTGCCCATATAACATATATTTAATAAATATTGAATATATGAATCAGAATCTTGTGCATTTCATATATGGCGCCCTAAATATTAAAAAAATTGATATAATTTAAATTTAAAGTCACTTTCAAAGGATTCTAATTTTTCGGTAGCGCATTTACTTTCTTGTGACGACAATGTATAACTACGGCCAGTAGCATTTAACAGTGAAACTAATGTTAAGATATGACATTTGGGCAAGTAAAGAGTGTCGTCTATACTTGGAAATGTAAAGGAATTAGAAGGTCCGGATAGGTGTAAAAACTTTATATACATTTCTTCCTGCTTTTGATTTTTCACTAAAACAAAGCTAACTACCAATTAGAATCATAAGGATACGTTAGGTATCCTGATATTTCTTCAATAATTATATTTTCATCATTAAATGATAACTATTCTAAAGTACTTTCTATTGAATTGGAATACATTTAATTTTAAATTGATGTAAATCTGTTGGAATCAAGGTGTGTATTTTGTGTGTTCCAGGTATAGATCTAGTTTTTGAAAATCTTTCTCTGAGTAATAGATCTTCGTAATCATAATTTATTTTGGTCATCTTCAAAATATATGACATTAATATTTTCTTTAGCTAACTCATACAATTCATATGATGTGTACTTTGAGTAAGGCCTTGTAAACTAGCTCTAGCGGCTAATCCCATCAAAAACACTTTTCCCGTGTGCTGTAGCAGAAAAATGCCATTTCGCCTGTACCTCGAAATCCATCTCATGATGGCAAATATTAATAAAATTTTTACGATTTTTATAGTGCAGCGGATCCACCGGAAAATAAAAAATTTTATTTGGCCTACAAATTTTATTAATTAAAAAATTTACCAATGTTTTTTTGAAATTATGTACTGCTATTATATTGTGTTGCAAAGATTCGGATATCATAACATAATTTAGGCAACAAATATTGGCAAAATTATCTTTATAATATATAAGAAAAGGGTGAACAGTGGATTGAGCCCTATTCCAATGATAATTTTGTACTTCATCCTGAAGTATAAAGCTATAGTTTTCTTAAAAATCACAAAATTAAATATTGGTCTTCGTCTAAGTTCAATTTTAGATTGTTTTGATACAACGATTGTTGCGTTGAAATAAAAAAATGGAGTAATAAAGATTCCATTTTTTCAAAAAAGGCATTGATAAATTCACCTACTGGTTTGGTTATTGTTTCAAGAGTGGTTCTATCTACGGATAGCCATTGTTTGCATGTTATAAATTCGATGTCCTTAGAACGAAACAATATTTCTATTTGATCGCGTAAATGTGTTGACCCTGGACAATTATCACATTTGCCCATATAACTGGATGTTTGAGGCGAATTACAAATTATTAAGTGTAAAATAGGTTTGTATGTTTTAAAGATCATTGTTTAAGTTTGATCCAATGATCATTAATTTAAAATTTTGGTGGTAGCTGCAATCACGAGTATACAATTTTTGGGCGAATGCTTGCGAATTTCGAAAAACCAATTTTAACATCAAAAAAATATATAAATTTTTTTCAAATTATCTAAATTTAATCTCTTATGTATGGTATTCTTTTTTCCGTCTTTGGTCAAAATCGAAACGCAATCTTTCTTGCCTGGCATGATTCTGCTTATTTCGTCTATACAATAAAATTCTTGTACAATTTTAACTGTATATTCGTCTATAGTTTTTCCAGACTTGGGGTTAGGTGTTGATAGAAATCAAAATATCAAGAAATTAATTAAAAAATGAATTAATATGGTGAGCATGTGTTATTGAATGATTAAAACCCTTTTGCGCCCGGAATATTTCCCATGAACAAAAAATACATGTACTTTGATATAATAAAATAATGATTTTGGACAGGTTACTGATAAAATACGAAATAATAAATATTGTTTTATAAATTAATATCCTTAAGTACCAACCATTAGGTTCTTTAAATATAAAAATTAATTGATTAAAAATTTTGATGACAAATGAACTCGCTGGGCGCGAAAGGGTTAATCAATTTTAAAATTTTTATTTATTTTATTGATTGAAACACTTATTTATTGTTATTCTAATTTAGTAAGGCTATGCTGATTTTAGAAAATCCGATCCAATATTTATATTGTTTTGGGTTATTTTATGATAATACTTTTATTTTGTATATAATTTCATAATAGTAATAAATTAATATTTGTAATATTTTAAAAATATCAAATTATTTTACAAAATTGAGTAGAGAAAATTTTGATATTATTTTTGGCGTCTATGAAATGCACAAGATTCTGATTCATATATTCAAGAACTATAAACTTGGTTGAATAATATTCATTAAATATATGTTATATGGGCAAAATTTTTTATAATAAAGTAATAAATTAAATTTCTTTTATCGATAGACAATTTCTATAATTGAA